AGGGTTTCCTCCATCCCCAGCAGTGCTGCTGCTGACTCCAGCTGCTTGGTCTGGCCTTCATTACAGACAGAGGACAGGGGCAGGCTGGGGGACCTGGGGATCTTTAGCCTGGAGGAGACTCAGGGGGAGCTTCTCACTCTCTTCAGATCCCTGAAGGGAGAGTGTAGACAGGTGGCTGCTGGGCTCCTTTTCCAGGCCACCAGCAACAAGAGGAGAGGGCACAGCCTGAAGCTGCTCCAGGGGAGGTTAAGGTTGGGTATTAGGAAGCACTTCCTCACAGAGAGGGGGGATAGAAAGCTGAATAGACTTCTCAGGGAAGAGGTGGAGGCACCTAGATGAGTTCAAGGAAAGGCTCCTTGTGTGGCAGACAACAGGTAGGTCTAGAGGGGCCTGGAAGTCCTATTAGCTCCTGCCCTCCCTTATATGGATGACAGAATCACAGGATGGCTAAGGTTGGAAGGGAACATGGAAGGACGTACTGTCCATGCAGAAAACTATCTGCACTCAGGGCTGGTGGGATGGATGAGAAGGCTTGCGGACGCAATTACACAGAGAAATGCCACATATCCAGGTGGTGTCTATGGGATCATGTTTCTGTGTCCCTCTTCAAGAGGGTTGACTCCCAGTGGGATGTTCCTCTTAAACAATATGCTGCTCACTCAGCTGCTGCTCTCTCCCTACAGCACCACGTACCTCCACTCCAGCACCCACTGTCTCAACAACCCCAGGTAAGTCTGGAGGAGTGGAGGGTTCTGATTATCTTCTGCTTATCTGATTACCTCCTCAGTTATAGAGGAGAGAATGTTTGGTTGGGGTCGGAAGGGGTATCTGGAGGTCTTATGGTCCTTCCCCCTGGCTAAAGCACAGGGAGCTAGTCCCCAGTTATGAATGTCAGAATCACAGGATGGCTGAGGTTGTAAGGGAACATGGAAGGACGTACTGTCCATGCAGAAAACTATCTGCAGTCGGGGCAGGTGGGATGGATGAGAAGGTTTGGAGACACAGCTACTCAGAGAAACACTGCATATCCAGGTGGTGTCTATGGGATTGTGTTTCTGTGTTCCTCTTCAAGAGGTTTGACCCCCAGTGGGATGTTCCTCTTAAACAATATGCTGCTCACTCAGCTGCTGCTCTCTCCCTACAGCACCACGTACCTCCACCCCAGCGCCAACTGTGTCAAAAACTCCAGGTAGGGTTGGAGGGCTGGAGGGGTCTGATTATCTCCTGCTTATCTGATTACCTCCTCAGTTATAGAGGAGAGAATGG